AACTCAAAGTGGAGCTGTGGCTCAAGCGATGAAGCGTTAGTCTTGAGCACAAAAGCCCAGGGACAGCACCCAGGCCCTGAATTCAAACCCCAGGACCAGCACCTATAAACGAGAGGAAAGGAGGAGGGTGGAGAAAGAGACGCACTGAAGCACAAGACCGTGGCGGGTCAGTGTTCTGTCTGCGTCCATAGGTCAGGCTAGCATTCACGCTACCCAGTTTTGTCTCTGCTGATACTCTGATCACTTTCCTAGACACCATGAATGGGTTCAAATTCCCTATTGTAGACGCTGATTTTGTTGTTGTTTTGGTGATGTGGGGTTTGAATTTAGGAACTCTACTACTTGAGCTGTATTGTTCCTCGTTTCTTTCAGATAGGATCTCAAACTTTTGCCTTGGCCAGCCTTATACAGAGATCCTCCTACCTTCTCTCCCATCTGGGACCAGAGACAGGAGCTACCATGCCCAGCTTGGTTTTTGAGAAAGTCTCACTGACTTTCCTCCCAGGCTGCCTGTGAGCCACAGTCTTCCTATGTCCACCTTCCAAATAGCAAAACTAGTATAAACCACCATGCTCTGACTGGATCTCCTTCTATCTTCTCTTTATCAGTTTGCTTTCTGTGTTTTAAGATGATGTGTGAGGATGTATACAAATTGATCTCTTCGTGCCAGTTTGACACTTTCGTGTCTGTGGGAAGTTCTTTTTCTCTAGTAGCACAGTCTACTTGTCTGACAGTAGTTTGCCTAGCCTAGTTTTCCTTTAGCGACAGCATGGTATGTATTTTTCTGTCCCTTTACTGTCTATCTTTCTGCATTATGAGATTTTAAAGTGAACTTCCGTGGCTGTTCTTAACCCTGATGATCTTTGTCTTTTAATTGGGATATAAACGCACTTGCGGTGAGTGCGCTTTTTCTTTGTGTTTATTTCATCTCCTCCTTTCATGCAGTTTAATTTCATTTCTTTCTCCGCTGCCAGCTGGCGAGGCCGTCAGCTCCCAGGTACTCTCTTTCCATTAGCTTGCCTCCGCTACCAAATCCACCAATTATATTTTCTAACAGTGCATGATTGCCTTTCGGTTCTAGAATTTCCCCTTTACACGTAGTCCATAGCTTTTATCTCAGATGCAATGTCTCATCTTTTTATTCATTTTATTGAATCTATTTATCGTGCTAATTCTTAAGTTCTCATCTTAAAAACTCCTAAAGTCAACCATTCATTTGCTCACAAGTCCTTGGGATGCCCCCTCCCCCTCCCCCCCTGCTTGGTCCCCCCTCCCTGTCCCCTGTGACGCCTCTCAGCAGGTGAGCTCTCTCTGGTCCAGCCCTCCCTCACTCACATGGTAGCTGTACAGCCTCAGCTGGCCCCTCCTCCCCCAAACCTCCCCTCTGGCATGTGGCTTTTCCAGCAGTTTTGTTCAGACTTGTCCATGAGGAAACAACACCTAGAACTCTGCTTCTGACTCAAGAGGCAGACATCAGGAGGATTGTAGTTTGAGGCTAGCACTGGCAAAAACTTAGCTAGACCTCTGCCTCCACCATGCCTGGGCGTAGTGATCTCTGTCTGTCATTCCAACCGTGGGCAGGGGGGAGGGGGGAGGAGGAGGGGGGAGGTGTACAGGCAAGAAGATTACCAGAAAAGAAAAGCAAGAATGTACCTGAAAAAAATGACTAAGGCCAAAAGGGCTGGGAGAATTGCCTAAGAGTTGGAGAACCTGTCTGGCAAGTGCAAGGTCCTGAGTTCAAATTCCAACACCCTTTAAAAAAAAAAAAAAGGAGGGATAAAAGTGAGGCTCCCGGAGTCTCTTCAGGCCAAAGCTCAGAGCAGAGGGTCCCCTCCCCCGCGGTGGAGACGGCTGCGGCCTTGCGGCCTTGGCTTTGGGTGGGAGTTATAAATGCTCGCGTCTCACCCACGCCAGGGTGCACACCCTTGCAGGAGACCTGGATCCCACCCCGGATGTGGCGTCCCCAACGCCGCCTCTGCGTGAGGGCCCCTTCTCCTGCGTCCCCACCCCCGCTGCCACCACGTGTCCCAGCAGACTGGTGACACCACGCCCCGCAGTGCCAGCGCCTCCCCAGCACTGCTTTATGGCTGCACAGCCAGCCCCCCCTTCTTCCCCCCCCCCAGTATCGTGACACTGCAGTTCCGGAGTTTGGACTTCAGCGGGACACCTGTGGTTCACACCGGCAGCCCTAGCTACTCGGGAGGCTGAGATCGGAGGACTGCCATTCAGAGCCAGCCCCGGCAGAAAACTCTAGGAGACTCTGATTTCCAATGAACCAGCAAAAAAGCTGGAAGGGGAGCTGTGGCTCAAGTGACGGAACTCTAGTTTTGAGTGAAAAAAACAAGTGAGGAGGCAAAACCCTGGGTTCAAGTCCCAGTACTGACAGTACTGGCACTGTACCTACACGCAGTACTGACACTCAGCACTGGCACACAGCACTGGTACTGTACCTACACACAGTACTGACACTCAGTACTGGCACTGTACCTACACACAGTACTGACACTCAGCACTGGCAGTGTACCTACACACAGTACTGACACTCAGCACTGGCACTGTACCTACACGCAGTACTGACACGCAGCACTGGCACTGTACCTACACACAGTACTGACACGCAGCACTGGCACTGTACCTACACACAGTACTGACACTCAGCACTGGCAGTGTACCTACACACAGTACTGACACGCAGCACTGGCACTGTACCTACACACAGTACTGACACGCAGTACTGACACACAGCACTGGCACTGTACCTACACACAGTACTGACACGCAGCACTGACACGCAGCACTGGCACTGTACCTACACACAGTACTGACACGCAGTACTGACACTCAGCACTGGCAGTGTACCTACACACAGTACTGACACGCAGCACTGGCACTGTACCTACACACAGTACTGACACGCAGTACTGACACACAGCACTGGCACTGTACCTACACACAGTACTGACACGCAGCACTGACACGCAGCACTGGCACTGTACCTACACACAGTACTGACACACAGTACTGACACTCAGCACTGGCACTGTACCTACACACAGTACTGACACACAGTACTGACACGCAGCACTGGCACTGTACCTACACGCAGTACTGACACGCAGCACTGGCACTGTACCTACACGCAGTACTGACACGCAGTACTGACACTCAGCACTGGCACTGTACCTACACACAGTACTGACACACAGTACTGACACTCAGCACTGGCACTGTACCTACACACAGTACTGACACGCAGCACTGACACGCAGCACTGGCACTGTACCTACACACAGTACTGACACGCAGCACTGACACGCAGCACTGGCACTGTACCTACACACAGTACTGACACGCAGCACTGGTACTGTACCTACACACAGTACTGACACACAGTACTGACACACAGCATTGGCACTGTACCTACACACAGTACTGACACGCAGCACTGGCACTGTACCTACACACAGTACTGACACGCAGCACTGGCACTGTACCTACACGCAGTACTGACACTCAGCATTGGCACTGTACCTACACGCAGTACTGACACACAGCACTGGTACTGTACCTACACACAGTACTGACACACAGTACTGACACTCAGCACTGGCACTGTACCTACACACAGTACTGACACGCAGCACTGGCACTGTACCTACACACAGTACTGACACTCAGCACTGGTACTGTACCTACACACAGTACTGACACACAGTACTGACACGCAGCACTGGTACTGTACCTACACACAGTACTGACACACAGTACTGGCACACAGTACTGGCACTGTACCTACACACAGCACTGACACACAGCATTGGCAGGGCTGGGCAGTGGTCCTGCGAGCTCTCCTTGAGCAAATGGATCATCTACCATCATCCAATCACCTGCTCAGGGCTCAGGCTGGTCCACGGGGCCACCTTGCCCACACCCGAGTGACACACACCAGCCTCCCGGGGTTAAGTCACCAGGAGTAGGAAAAACAACTTTTATCTCCTGACTAGAAGAGCCTCAAGTATGGAAGGCTACTGCTTATGGCTCCCTTTAGATCTGTATCTGAGGTCTGCTTTTCCCCTTGCTTTTCTGTCCTTTTGTATATGAAAATAAAGAGTAGGCACTTGCTGATAGCATCTCTGTGCAGATAACAGGATTGTTTTTCTGGTGTGCAAACAGAACCAGGGCAGGACAGCTTGCTCCCTGGAGGGCTCGTGACAGTACAGGGGTGGGGGACAAGTCTTATCAGGAGCCTGGGACGTTTCTAGGACCTGTCCCAGGCAGATGACCCCCCCAAAGCTGCTTTCCTCCCGCACCCACATGTGCAGCCTCTGGCAGAGGACGCTGACAGTCCAGTCTTATCCCCGTCTGTCCCAGTGCCCTTGTGACCTGGAAGCCACTGTCTGCCTCACAGCCTACCATTTCATACCATGTTCTGGAAGTCTCTGGGCCCTTGTAGTCTCTTCCCAAAGCCTCCCTAGCTCTGTGCTCACCTCCAGTCAGGCAGGATATTTCTGGGGGTTGCAGTGGGAAGCCAGCAAGCACCATCTCCCCAGCAGAAGGCAGCCCCCCCCCCCCGCTCCGGCAGCCCTGGTACCTCACACCTTCTTCCTGTGCATGTAGATATCCAGTCTCCTGCTTTCTGTCTCAGTGGAGTTTCTAGAAGGAACTTTGGAGGCAAACCAACACAGGATTCTAAAGAATGACTGGGGAGGAGATGGCCCCTGCTTCCTGCCTGCTTCTGTTGAGGGCCACGGTGCAGGACCCAGGCCACGACTCCCAACTCCTCCAAAGTGACCCCCAGGAAATGCACCCCACTTCCTGCCCCGTTCATCTTCCTCCCCCAGCCAGGAGAGGTTTGAAGCTGTCTCTGTCCCCAGGTTGAATGCCTTGAATGCCCCCGTCTCCTGAGGGGCCTGCCCACAGCCATAGGACTGCTGGGCCGCTGGGCCGCTGTGGGGTTCGACCCGTGAGAGCTCAGCCTCCTCTCGCCTCTCTCCCCCCAGGCTGCGCGAGCACCACCGAACCACTATCAAAGTCATCCGGCGCATGCAGTACTTCGTGGCCAAGAAGAGATTCCAGGTGAGTCTTGTGCCGGCTGGCCTGCGCCAGCCTCGGCCCCCTGCACCCCGACCCCCACACAGACAGCACCCCGGGGCTCCATGCCGCACCCAGGGATCCTTCCTCTGGCCCGGGGACTGCACACCCATCTTGCTAATCAAAAGACCTCATGGGCTCATCCCAACTCCTGTGAGAGACAGGGCCACGAGGTCTTGGGCCCCGGACAGGACAGGCCTCAGCCCCAGGCCCTCCGTGAGTGGAGAGGCGAGAGGCAGAGTGGGTGGCCTTCTAAGCCCTGAGTCCCAGCCCCCAGAGGTGCTATCTGGCGGCAGTTGGGCTGGTCGGTGGCTCTGGGCCTGTCCTGCGTGGAGGCCTTGGGAGGAGGCTGCTCTCCCTCCCAAGGCCCCCACGCGCCCAGGCAGGAAGGTGGGGGGAGCTGGGGTCCACAGCGGCACCAAGGCAACCCACCACGCAGCTCCGGCTGACCACCCCACACAGACTCCCCACGCTCGCCTGGGGTCCCGGCCCCACCTCCCCAGGTGCATATGAGGCTCCCCACAGGTGACCCTGCATGAGTTTGTTTCTATAACAAGAGCTCAGGAATCGGGGCACAGTGGCTCATACCTGTCATCCTCATTGCTCGGGAGGCTGAGATCTGAGGATCAAAGTTCAAAGCCAGCCTGGGCAGGAAGGTCCATGAGACTCATCTCCAACTAACCACCAAAAAGCTGGAAGTAGGGGTATGGCTCAAGAGGTAGGCGCAAGGAAAAGTACCCCAGCCCCGAGTTCAGCGGACCAAGCTCTGTCCAGGCCCCCGCAGGGCCAAAGGGAATAGAAGCCCCTGGCGGCCAGCAGCAGGAGGTCTGCCTGCCGGCCTCGGCCTCCGGGGTGATCTGAGGGCCCTGCAGTGGGGGTGCTAGGAGCTCCGTCCGTGCCACTGCCTGGCACCCAAGCCCTGGGGCCGAGGCTGGTGCAGGGGAGGAGAGAGGCGCGCCCACAGCACAGGCCCCCACGTCTGCAGGAGGCTGCAGAGCGACAAAGGGAAGGCCAGGGTGGCGCTTTGGCCGGGGGTCCGCTTGGCAGTGGTCATCCAAGCCGCTGGCGTCGTCTGGGTGAGACAGAGGGTCGGGAGACTGTGCCCGGCAGGCGCCAGCCCCGGCTGGGCAGGCCCCTGGCACCTCCGAGGACCGCTAGGCCTGGTGGGGGTGCGCCGGGGCCGGGGGCAGCCGGACGCGGAGGTCCCGCCCGGAAGTCGCCTCGGTGGCCCGTGCAGACCCTGTGTCTCAGGCCAGGGGGCCAGCACGCTGTGCTTCCTTCCCGGTTGGGGTCCCATTCTACAAGCTAGGGTCCTGAGAGTTGTCTGGGAATCTTCCAGAACAGGCCAGGCAAGCCTTTCCTCCTCACGTGCTTCTCCTGGTGCCCCAGGGGCGCTGTGACTAAACAGGGGGGAGGGGGGGACAAAGGCTGCCCTCCCCCGCCCCTCCCCCGCCTGGCCGTGCCCCACCCCCCCCCCACACAGTACTGACACACAGTACTGACACGCAGCA